CGTGTCGTGGACACAGGGCTCATTGAGCAAGGAAGTTGTTAAACTCCAACAAATTGATTTGCAGTGTCTAACGGACACGTGAGCCTCGTTGAGGCAATAATCGATTGGAACTGTAAATGCTCTCAATTTTATTGGGGGAGGGGTTACACTAACCGTAATAAAAGGGGCGTGTTTGTCACACGAGATGTGCATGGTGTGACCACCCACCCAAACAAGAATACGGTACGGGGCTAGGTAGCCAGTAGTTATGCATGTATTTAGATTTTATTATATATATTTAGTATATTTAGAAAAATGTAAACTCTGAAAATTAGGATAAAAAGATAAATAAAAATCAGTTTGGAATCCAAACCAATGAGTCGATTAGCCTTCAGAAGGCAAAAATTACTCTGGGAGTAAGCGGATTGCGATCCCCTAACTCATACTTGGTTCTTGTAAAAATAAAAGGTCGGTGAGCTAAAGTACGCTTCCTCAAGCGCTAAGCTACGGCAGCCCGCTGCAAAATACCTTTTAGGATTCATTGTTCTTTGAATATATTCGTTTTCCATATCTTTTAATAAAACTTTCTTGATTTTTTTTGGATCTTCATAGATACCGATATTCCGGTACTTATGAATATTCAAAATTACGCTACAACTAAATGTAATGTATACATCCGTTCCAAATGTGAAAGGGCAAATTTTACACTGAAACAATTCTGAGTACTACAGTGAAATGGTACACATGTTATATTCTCTAAAATGATTGCATGTGTAGCGGTCATCGGCGCAGCCGTAAGTACGTAAAAATTTGTCACCTTTGCGTCCTATACAAAACTATCTGCTGCTTGCATTGTGCAGAATAACCCCTTATATATTCGCACGTTTGGTGAGGAGAGCGAAGACTTAGGGTTTCATTATGTAGCGCACGTATCTCTTGACGTGATCGAGGAAAAGATGCGGTGTGCAGCTGTCACGGCATCTAAGGACGACATGTATTTGGGTTTTCTTGGCCCAATTGAAGATTACCGAGTCTTTGGTTACGTGACTAATACGTCTGTCAAGTTTGTCGTGGTGCTACAGGAAACTCCCGTCCGTGAGTCTGAGTTGAGACCGGTACAATCAGTCCTTGCACCAGGCCAATTAACATCGCTCTAACATATTGTCGGGTCTGTCCAATACAGTTTCTTGCGGAGGTCCATCGCTTGTATGTCAATGCGATGTCAAATCCTTTCGCGCCACTGGGAGAGCGACTTACATCTCAGACTTTTGACAAGCGAGTGTCGAATCTCGTCGTTCAATACAACACAAGTAGCTGAAGTGGAAAAACTAAGCACTTTCATTCTTTAATGGAATAGAACAATCAGCCTTTGAAGCGTCTACCAAAACATTTCCAGCCCCGCTATCTTCATCCTTCTCGTCCTCACCTTCAGAATCGTCGTTTTGATCCTCTTCGTCGATTTCGGGCATTGGGAAACGTAGAATAGCAGCGATACCACTCACTTGACCAAGCTTTTCGCCCGACACGTGCATACTACTGAAAAGCCGCACTGTGCCACCATTATCTCGCACACTTTCTACTATTTCAACATACTTACGACGCGTTGCGATATCTTGCGATCGAAACAGAGCATCCGAGATCATAAGCGTCTCAATGGCCATGTTAGAATTTGCTCGAATGACGTGCTTGTAACCGTAGTATGCGCGATCCTGGTCAATATGCAGCATGTTGAAGAATTGTTCTAGGCACTTGACATCTTCCACTGCCTTTGTATCCGCCACGTGTGACTGAATTGATGGGTCACTCAGTACTTCGTCCAGCGCATGCTTGTGACCAGATGATGAATGGCATAGCACAAATTTCTGCTTATTCTCAAGAATAATCTTGTCATCGTGGCGGACAGCATGCTCTAACATGAACTTATAAAAGTTATCCTTGACGAACCCTGGACTCGCGAGGATTACACACTTGACTAGCTTAAAGTCAATATGCTGCCGAATGGAGCGCACGATGTTTTCGTAAAATCTTTCGATCCCCTTCGCGTGGGCCGAGTTTCCAGGGCGTTTTTTGGGTACACTAATCTCAATCCTTGCACGAATGACAGTCATGTCACCCTTGATTAAGCATAGATGGGCCAGGCCAGACTGCATGACCACTGCCGCTAGCTCAGCTTGTTTAGTGACGTCGCATGCTATGTTAATGCGCTCTAATGACATGACGTCCCAGCAGTTTTTAGTTAGCGTAAAATCACGATTCATTTCAAGATCTAGCGTGTGATAAGCTCCCAGCTGCCCACACAACCCGTTAATGCATGAAGTATATAGCATCCTCTATCAGAAGTGCACCATTAAATATCACAAACATACCCGGACATGTTGGCTCTCCATAATATTCTTGCCCTTGATCCGCAGTACACATAGTGCTGGGTCAAAATTTACTTGCTCTACCTAAACATGGTCAGTCTTTTAACGGTTTGATATACTTCGCCACCAATCTTCGCACATCACCTCGATTTGAAGAGTCATTCGCACACGCTGGCTACTGGTAGAGCCCGTCACACCTTCTTTTACCACCTAAAGACGCCACATCAGTCCACCTTATCCTTTATACAGGACCAAGCGAAACCAAAACTGAACTCACAGACCTTGCGGATCGTCGTCGTTTTTACTAAGTCCGATACGTGGATTAGATTGTAAATGTGCCACATATCTTCAGGCTCTTCAGCACGCAAGATCACAAATCCTGCGCTATCCTTCTCGCTGATCTGCTTCTTGAGGAGCTTCATGTTCGACCGTTAATACTAGCACATAAATTAATTTGGAAAAGTAATAGTCTCAACACTTTAATTGTAATAACGGCCATTATGTTCATTGACAAAATGTAAGCTTCGCTGCGCGTGAAGTGGATTTTTTGATGTTTTTTATTCGTGCTGCATCAACAAGTACTTATTATATACAACTTATTAGTACTTTCATCCAACAACAATATCGCAAAAATAGCGAAGAATTCCAGATTTTGCCGAGTTATTTTTGATTGCGCTTGGAAATCGCAGACGTAAGGCAATATGCCAACTTTGCCAGCACTGATGACCTTTGAGTCTCACTGAGATTGAAACTGGTAGACGGGGATCCTGGACGAACATTCGCGTCATTACCACCGTGTCGATCAGTACAACCGTAAAATGTCTTTCTTGTCTCCATGTATTTGTCAATGTCCCAACCACAAACGTTTTCTTCACTAACGTACCGCTCAATGATTAGAGTGTGCTTCTGGAACGGATTATCGACAGAAAAGCAAGTGAAGTATTGCTCGAGATCTTGCGCCCAGAGTACTATCACGTTGGCTATGGTAGTGAAGCGAAGTGACGTCTCAGGATTCCTGCACACGATTTTATCCTGACGGCACCGCGCTGAGTTCAAATCATGCTGGATCGCCAGCCGATCGGCCTAGTGAAGACTTCACATGGTCTTGTATTAAGCAAATTTTCAGCTTCATGTTCCCTCACCTGATCCTAGTGAAATTCTGGTGCTTGCTAGATGATTTCACGCGACCAGCCGGCGAAAGTGAACGAGTTTGCTCACAGCTACCTTTACCGTGATCCAATTGTTGACATGCTTAGCCAGCCGCAATTTAATTAATTAAAAATATGGTACTTCTAACTTAAACAACTGCAGCTCGAGTGATAGCTTTCTGCAGCTACTTCCTACAACGCCCTTCTTCGTTGCACGAAAGACAGAAGACGCGGTCGAGCTGTTCATCACAATTGAGCGTCGAGCACAGCGAACAAAAGGAGTGACAACACGCGTCACATTCGCGGCTGCAGCAGTTGCCCATCTGCCGATCACAGTGTCTGCAATAAACCTTCATGCTAGGCTCAAACTGACACTTACCGCATTCACACACAGCGACGCAAACGCGAGATGCCTCGATTTTGCCAGCGAACAGGCGAGTGATGCTGCTGTGTTTCTTCATACGCGCATTAGTGACGGCGGCGGACATTAAGCAGCTCAATGCGTCTAATTATGACGTTCAAACAGTCAGTATATTGTAATTTGGTACTGCCTTGTCTTGCGTCACTCACCGATGGGAACAGAACGGTCTCGATAACGCTTAGTAGACGCATGCTGCGATTTACAAGGCGACATCGAGGCCCAGAGAGACGATGGGGGTGGTGTCATGCCCAAATCATCCATGTTGTTATTCTGGTTTGTAATGTCATCGCGCATGCGCTTCATTGCTCAGCGAAGGGGAGACCGCGCCTTTTGAGATGAAGCTGCTACTGCGGATGGCGGGAAGCTATGGCGTTCGTTAAAATACGAAATGGAATGCTTTATTGAGCTTACTTCAAACCCTTTCAAATAGAATAGCACAATTTCTAATTACTAGTGTTTCCAGCTGCTCAAGAGACAAAGTAAGGAATTATTCAAATATTGAGCTACAACTTTTACGTACATCTTGATGGTATGATCCTTGCTGCCTGATGCCACCATATCACCATTTGGACTCCAGTCTAGCGCATACACTTCGTCTGCGTGGCCCGATAATGTCGTTTTGGCATTCTTAGGGTCACGCATCTCCCACACTTTCACGGTCGAGTCTTTGCTGGCCGTCACGATCAAGCGCGAGTCGCTGGACCAGCATACTTGATACACTGCACCGACATGGCCTGTAAGAGTAGCAACAAATTTGCCTGTCTGACCGTTCCAAATCTTAACCTTTTTATCAAAACTGGCGCTTGCAAAGTATCGTCCATCTGGAGAAAAGCTCAAATGATTTACCGGCTGCTGATGGCCCGTGAGACGCGCCAGTGGCTTTTTGCTCTTTGAAGGCTCCCAAAAGAATAAGGTAAAGTCATCTGAGCCAGAAACCAGACGCTCTGGCTGACCCTTAAGGACCTCTTCGTATCGCTTCAGCGCGGCCTGCTGCATTTCTTTGCGCGACAAGAAACTTTGGAAGTCGTGACCAAACGAACCCGAACGGCAAACATAGTCCACATTTAGTGCCAGCGTGTTTATACGGTGACCATGCCCGACTAAAGTACGAACGAGCTTGCCCACATGTTCACCTTCTACAGCCCAAACTTTTATTGTACGATCTCGGGATGCACTGTAAAGCAAGCCTTGACCTCCCCATTTGATGCACTCTACTGAGTCCGTGTGGCCAGATAATGAAGCAACGCATCGTCCCGTGCGAGCGTTCCACACTTTTATTGATCCATCTTTCGAGGAACTTGCAAAGTGCTCACAAGCGGCATTTCTATGCATCGGCTCCCACGTCAAAGAGTTCACCCATTGTTTGTGCCCCTTTATAGACTGGCCAACCTGCTTACCCGTCAGCGGATCCCACAAACGAATTTCACCATTTCTGTCAGCAGATGCAAAGCGTAATCCATCTGGCGACCACGCCGTACTCAAGACGTGATTTCTGTGTCCACGACCCGTGTACTTGGGCATGCACGTGTTCGTATCCCAGAAACGTACAGTGGCATCGCCTCCACCACTTGCTAGTCTTTTTCCATCGGGACTAAAACTTACGTGCAAAATAGCTTCCGAATGTCCCTGCAATGTATCACTACAGCGGGTGACTGGACGCACACGAAACGGTGCCAGTGGCTGAAATGTAATGGTCAATGCCGTCTCCGTCGACAATCTCTACAATATACAATTTTATATTTTAAAAGCGTAAACTGTGACATCACGTAGTTATAGTCAGACTCACGCACCAGCTCTTCCACTGTGGCCTTGAGTGTGGTCGTTACCTCCGTCTCGCCAAGGAAGAGCGAGTAGGGCACACGGTCCTTGCCATTCTGCAGCAACATATTGACTAATTCTTCCATCTGGCGAATGGTGGAGTTCATGGGAATTTCTAGTTGCGGACCCACATTTGTACCCTGTTGACATGTATGAAAGTTAGTAGTAGTACGATTGTGCTGAGAAGCGTGATATTCAACGTGTTTTGTGTCTTACGTCTTCCCTCTGAAATTGAGCGATGGCAGAAGTCAAGTCTTTATCCTCCAGCTCTTCGTTTTCGTCACTATCGCTTGATTCCTGTGGATTGGCGGTTCTGTCACCGAAGGTGCTGTCGCCAATAATTTCGTGTTCCACCTTCATCTTCTTGACGACATGCACTACCATGTTACGTTTAAACTGTTGGCTATTGAGAATATACAGATTTTGACCAATCACAGATTGAAATTTAGATAACATTTAGCTCTTTACGGTCCTGCTTTGTAAATCATCACAGCTTTCTCGTTATAGTAGAAAAAAACAAAGTTTCGTGTCACATGGGTCACGAACGAGCCAAAGTTGCGACCGATACAAACAACCCAGTGCGGACCCCATGCCTCGTCGAGGTGAGCCTTGATGTCCTCACATACCTGGTAGTTCCATTAAAGAAAAACGTTATGTCACTCATTAGTTTCCCAGCTTCATATCACTTAAGCACCCTAATACACCCACTGCCAATCCGTTTTTCTCCCATTCTTCGGTATCAAACTTGGCCAACCGCATCGTGACATTCCTGATGACGTCTTCTAATATGTCGTCATCCATATCACAAGGCGTTTTAATCTTTGCACCCCACATGTGCTGCCAGTTCGGTGTATCTCCCATATTTTCGAACTGGTGTCTAGCGATAGATCGCGACTATTCAAAGGTTTCTTTATTCATTAAAAACCATAAAAACGAAACTACATTTTATTGTACCGCTGCGCAATGACGACGCGATTATTAAGTCGGTGTGGCAATAGCGCGGAAAAATCACAGGTGGCGCTACACCAGTGAGGTCCAAAGAGACATTTGTTGTATTTTAGTATGAGTGTTTTGTGACTTCGTAGTTAGGAAGAAAAAAAGCAAACAGGAGCATGTGCTAGTATATTGTCAATTCGCGACGAATATTCGAGATAAGATTGTTATGCCTTAAGTCATTTGCGGAGGTGACAAGGATGAGCACCTTTTGAAATGCGTATAGAGATGTACGTTTTCTATTTTCCAATTTTCTTTCAGAACTGTCGCTTGTGTTATGGTAGCATCTGCAAGCCGTGCTTCTAATCTGCGATCATCACGAGGTCAAGCCAATTACAAAGACCCATAAGCAGGAGTAAGCTGTGTTGAAGCGAATGCAGATGTCAAAACGTATCAAATTCATTACAAGAAAATTTTATCTTCCCTTGCTCGCTGTTGATTTCATCAGCCTTGGGTAAAAGGCTTTTTCTAAGCACTAGAGCGCAAGAGCTCAAAGATCTGACCATACTAATGAGACTTGCAAGACATAGCTCCGACAACGTCCTTACATTTATCGGTGGTTAATGTTATATGTGTTGGAACGGTACCGGTATGTAACAGGAAATGAGCCAGCTTTCATACGAGACTTCCATCCTACCGATCGCAATAGAGATGGATTCAACCACAGATAAAATTAATCTAGAAGAAATAGAATTCGTCACTAAAATGCGTCGATATTGAACCTAAGGCTAAATATTACTAACGAATTTTTACGAAT